AATAAATAATAAAATACACTTTAGGATGTTGACCATCACTGCATAGATCATCAACTAGATTAGACTAAACTTTACAAGATTTAATGATTTAATGCAGATTGCAAATGCCTGACTTAAAACCAAGATAGTAAAGATACCGAAACAGAAAAAGCTTCACAACTGTTTTATAATCCAAAAGTTTCCTACAGAAAGGTCAAGCCCTAGAAAAATCTGACATGTTCACTCAGGATTTGTCACTGAAAATCTCAGGTAGTTAGATAGCCAGTGAGCTCTGAAAGTTCTTCCCTTACTAACTGGAAATTCAAGAACAACCACTTCTATTCTTTTTATATCCTGTTTTACCCAAGAACGCGCCTCTTTCACTCTGTTCAAAACACAACATACCTGAAGACACTCTGTTTACATTCACCCCACCTGCAAGACTTTGTAGCCTATCTTACGGAAGACCGGGTCCTATTCCATATCATAATGTTCATGCTTAATTACCCTACCCTGAATGAGGTGACTTCAGGGGACCATCTGTTCAGAAAATAACTGGATAAACACTTGAGAGAAAATATGTGAAAGGGTCATCAATATGGTAAGCTAAACAACAATAAGAACTACACACCCATATTTGGTTCATTTGCAAGATCTCGTCAGGCACTTCTTTTAACATAGCATCTGTATAAAATTAGGCAATGCACATATCAGGCCCTGTAATTTGCAAAGCTAGAATCTCATCAACAAATTGGTAAACTCTGGCTAATTTATCCCTGAGATCAAAATCTAGATGGATTAGTAGCATCAATAAATTAACTCTTCACAGCCTTAGTAAATTATGAAAAAAATACTCTTATTAACAATAATTCCTAGATTCACAAGATGCTCTTTTAATATAAGTCAAAGCCATGTGTTTTTGCAATGTTTGCCACCAATAGGTTTCAGTTTACTCCAGACATTAAAGCAAATGGGTCATATTGTAATTGTTGGTTATATCTGATTGTAAGATATCTACCAGTGCACTGTATATGTAGAATAAAATCTGGGGGGCTAAACCACAATACACTGACAGAGCTTGTCTCTAGAAGCTGGGATTAAATGTAATCTTTACTTTGTTCTTTATATTTTGCTGGGTTTTTTTTTTTTAAGGTTTTATTGGGATGCCTGGATAGCTCAGGTGGTGATCCCAGAATCCAGGATCAGTCCCACATCGGGCTCGCTGCAGGAAGCCTGCTTCTCCCTCTGCGTATGTGTCTGCCTCTCTCTCTCTCTCTCTCTCTCTCTCTCTCTCTCTGTCTCTCATGAATAAATAAATCTTTAAAAATTTTTTAAAAATAAAATAATAAAATAAAAAGGTTTTATTTATTAGAAAGAGAGCGTGTATGCACACCCATGCATGAATTGGGGGAGGAGCAGAAGGAGAGGGAGAAGCAGACTCTGTTGAGCAGGGAGCCTGACTTGGGGCTCCGTCCCAGGACCCTAAGATCATGACCTAAGCAGAGGGCAGATGCTTAACTGAGTCGCCCAGGTGCCCCTCTTTTTTTTTTTTTTTTTTTTTTTTAGATTTTTAAAATCTATTTACTCATGAGAGACACAGAGAGGGGCAGAGATACAGGCAGAGGGAGAAGTAGGCTCCATATAGGGGGCCCGATGCGGGCTCGATCTGGGGACCCAGGGATCACGCCCTAAGTCAAAGGCAGCCGTTCAACCACTGAGCCACTCAGGCATCCCCTTCTTTTTTTTTTTTTTTTTTTTTTGAGAGAGAGAGAGAGAGAGAAACTGAGCCAGCAGGAGTGGGTGGGGGCAGTGGAGGGAGGGGGAGAGGAAGAGGGAGACAGAATCTTAAGCAGGCTCCACTCCCAGAAGGAGCCTGAAAGGGAGCGCAATCTCACCACCCTGAGATCAAGACCTGAGCTGAAACCAAGAATCCCACACTTAACCCACTAAGCCACCCAGGTGCCCCTCGGTGGGTTCTTTTCTAAAATTTGTTCAGTAACTATGTTTTACTTTTATAACCAGATATAAATGAATGAGAGTTATTTTTTAAAACATAATGCATGACTTGCAGAATGTTGACCAAAACTTGTCTGAAAATGTCTTACTGCATGGAAATGAATGAAGCGCAGAGAAGACAATGCTTTGGAAAGATTAAAACCACAAACCATGGCAAGCATTACCAGGGAAAATGAAGGTTTTAGATGTCAGGCAAATAAAATATCTGGCAATGAACATGATAATGTAGTCTATAAACAAAAACTTTACTATGAAGAATTAAGTTTAAAGCAAATTTCCTTTTCTTTCAAAACACTCTGTCATGTGAGTACTTAATTATTTTTTTTAAAGATTTTATTTATTTGAGAGAGAGAAAGAGGGAGAGCATGATCCTGTGTGCGCGCGCGCACGCACGCACAGAGAAAGAAGACTCCTGCTGTGCAGGGAGCCCAATTCAGGGCTCCATGGGGGTGGAAAGAACTTCAGCATCATGATCTGAGTCGGAGGCAGATGCTTAACTAACTGAGCCACCCAGGGGCCCCCAACAGAGTACTTTAAATCTCTGTTTAAAAACTTTTTTAGAGGGCAGCCCGGGTGTCTCAGTGGTTTGGCGCCTGCCTTGGCCCAGGGTGTGATCCTGGAGTCCCAGGATCGAGTCCCACATCAGGCTCCCTGCATGGAGCCTGCTTCTCCCTCTGCCTGTGTCTCTGCCTCTCTCTCTCTCTCTCTCTCTCTCTCTCTCTGTTTCTGTCATGAATAAATAAATAAAATGTTAAAAAAAAAAACCTTTTTAGAGCTCCCTGCACTTTGCTCAGGGTCAGGACATCTGGGGAGGAGAAGACGTCTGACATGAACCAGGAGGGGAGCCCTCACCAGACACCCTACCTGCCAGCAACTCCATCCTGCACTTCCCTGCCTCCAGACTGTGCGAAACACATCCTTCACGTTTATCAGCCACCCACCCAGTCTAGGCTACTCTGTCCTAGTGGTCCCAACGGACTAAGACAGCAAGGGTAAAGTTTCTCTATTTAGCTCCTTTCCTAAGGAATTTTTTTTTGTTGTTTTTTTGCAGAAATTGTCAAAGTTAGAGCTTGTGGTGGCCAAAGCTCAAGATCATGGGGTCTCAGTAGCCTCAGAGGTCTGCTCCCTTTATAACATGCACAGGAGGGCACAGCTAGACACTCGTCTAGCAGGGGTTCTCCAAGTGTGATCTGGAGATGCCTGGGGTTCCTGGAGACCCGTGAGGAGGGGCTGTGAGGTCAAAACTATTTGCAACACAATTATCTGGCCATTTTTGTTCCTGTTCTTACACTAGTGTACAATGGAATGTACTGAAAACTCCGTGACAGGTAATATCACAGCAGAGAGAAAGCAGGAGCAGCTGGGAGACTCCACCTGGCTTCAGTTAAACAAGACATGAATGATGCACAGAGTCTGTCACTCGTTAAATTATTTTTTGTTTTGGGAAATAGAGTTATTTTCCTTAACTCTAATGTTTTTAAACATTATGTGTGCATGTGAGCCTATTATTAATTAATCTTTCATTTTGAGGGGCGCCTGGTTACCTCAGTTGGTTGAGTGATCAACTCTTGGCTTCAGTGCCAGTTGTGATCTGCTGTGTCAGGGGATCAAGCCCTGTGTGGGGCTCCCTGCTCAGAGGGAGTCTGCTTGGGTTTCTCTCTCTCCTTCTTCCCTTCACCTTCCCCTCACTCATATGCTCCCTCTCTTTGAAATAAAAAAAAATTTGTTCATTTTGTTTTTAATCTCTAGTATAATATCAATAGAACCCACATAAACAAAAACTCTTTTAAGGTCTTCAGGAGTTTTTAAGAACGTAAAGGGTTCTATCTCTTATGTTGTTGGTGGGAATGCAAACTGGTGCAGCCACTCTGAAAAACAGTATGGAGAGTCCTGAAAAAATTAAACATAGAACTACCCTACGATCCAGCAATTGCACTACTAGGTATTTATCCAAAGAATACAAAAATACTAATTCAAAGAGATGTGTGCACCCTTATGTTTATAGCAGCATTATTTACAACAGCCAAATGAGATGTCCACCAACTGATGAATGGATAAAGAAGAGGTGCTATAATACACAATGAAATGTTAGCTGCAAAAAAGAATGAAATCTTGGCATTCACAATGATGTGAATGGAGCTAGAAAGTATTATGCTAAGAAATAAGTCAGAGAAAGACAAATATCATATGATTTCACTCATATGGGGAATTTAAGAAACAAAATAAATATAGGGGGGAGGAAAACCAAGAAACAAACTTACCTCTAGAGAAGAAACTATTACCAGAGAGGAGGTAGGCAGGGGGATGGGTGAAATAAGTGATGGGCATTAAGGAGTGCACTTGTGAAGAGCACCAGTACTGTATGTAAGCGCTGAATCACTAAACTGTACATCTGAAACGAATATTACATTATATGTTAAATAACTGAAATTTGAATAAAAAACTTGAAATAAACAAACAAAAGAATGTAAAGAGTTCTAAAGACCAAAAAGCTTGAGAAGCACCATTTAATATAGTATAATCGATCTAAACTCAGAAAGCACAGAGGACTTGATATATAAACATAACTATTATTAGAAATGGGCTTCAGGAAGTGTTTTGTTTTATTCATGGAAAAAACAGACCAGTATAACATGAACACACATTTCTGCTGCCTCAACTCGCCCAAATTAATTAATAAAATAATTTCATAGGATATCTATATGCCAATACATGGGACTCTGTCACCAAATAAAAAGCATATGATGTGATCCTGGAGTCCCGGGATCGAGTCCCACCTCAGGCTCCCTTCATGGAGCCTGCTTCTCCCTCTGCCTGTATTTCTGCCCCCCACCCCATCTCTCATGAATAAATAAATAAAATCTTAAAAAAAAAAAAGCATATGATGTGGCTTCACTCTGATAAATACTGGGAAACACTAACTTGTTTTGTCATTTTGTTGTGGTGTTACAGAATTACAATCATTAGCCCAGACTATCATCTATGAAATGCTTGTGTACAGGTAATTACAATGATAGAATGTCAAGTATGGACCAATACAGCCAGTGGTGTGTGAACACTCAGAGATCTGATGATCCACCAGCTATATCAAGCCAAAGGAAAATTCTCATTTGAACAGGTACTGGTTTTCTTTCCTTTTTTTTTTTTTTTTTAATGATACAATTTAGGGGGACGCCTGGTGGCTCAGCGGTTTGGCACCTGCCTCCGGCCCAAGGTGTGATCCTGGAGTCCCGGGATCAAGTCCCACATCAGGCTCCCTACATGGAGCCTGATTCTGTCTCTACCTATGTCTCTGCCTCTCTCTTTCTCTCGGTGTCTCTCATGAATAAATAAATAAAACCTTTAAAAATGATACAATTTAGGGAGAAGACACAGTTAATATATGTATTTAGATACATGAATTTTTGACATTTTCATTATGAAGATTTTTAAGTACAACAGACAAGAGTATAGTACATTACACCTTGTGTGTCCATCCTCTGCTTCAATAGCTAACATTTTATCAATGTTGTCTCATCTATCCATCACCCCACAAACCCACTTTTTAGCTGTAGTATTTATTTATTTATTTTTAAAAGATATTTTATTTATTTATTCATGAGAGACACGGAGAGAGAGACAGAAACACAGGCAGAGGGAGAAGCAGGCTCCATGCAGGGAGCCCGACGTGGGACTCGATCCCGGGTCTCCAGGATCATGCCCTGGACTGAAGGCAGATGTCCAACCACTGAGCCACCCGGGCGTCCCTAGCTGCAGTATATAAAACAATTCTCAGTTGGGCATAGGGAATATAGTCAATGATACCATAATAATATTGTATGGTGACAGATGGTAACTACACTAATCATGGTGAGCATTTTCTAAGGTATAATAAACTTCAAATCCCTATGTTGTACACTTCAAACTAACATAATTTATGTCAACTATACTTCAATTTTAAAAATGCCAGACGTAGGGATCCCTGGGTGGCGCAGCGGTTTGGCACCTGCCTTTGGCCCAGGGCGCGATCCTGGAGACCGGGGATCGAATCCCACGTCAGGCTCCCGGTGCATGGAGCCTACTTCTCCCTTTGCCTGTGTCTCTGCCTCTCTCTCTCTGTATGACTATCATAAATTAAAAAAAAAAATTTAAAATGCCAGACGTTATATTATTTACTCATAAATAATTCAACATGACTTGGTAATAAAGACTTTTAAACTTTTATCTAATAAAATGGTCAATACTTTTTTGGTACAGAGTAATCTAATACCTAGTCCATGTGCAAATTTCCCTGATTATCTCAAAGCTATTTGCAATGAAATTCATTTCCTCCCTTTTTCCTTGGGATTTAAATCAGTTCCTCAGATTATGTCTCTTAAATCTCTCTTAATGTCATTTGTTTGTTGAAGAATCTAGGTAATGAAAATGAATATTTTAATTTCATCATTAAGTAAAGAGGCAAAAAGGGGCACCTGGGTGGCTCCATTGGTTAAGCATCTACCTTCGGCTCAGGTCATAATCCCAGGATTGTGGGATTGAGTCCCACATTGGGCTCCCTGCTCAGCATAGAGTCTGCTTCTCCCTCTGCCCCTCCCCCTGCTTGTGATCTCTTGTTTGCTTGTTCCTTCTCTCTCTCAAATAAATAAAATCTTTTTAAAAAATGTAATGAAATTTGATGTAGCAAACAAACTCTAGCTAAAATTAGATTAATGGATGAGATATGGATTTTTTTTTCATTTAAAGTAGAGTGGCAAATTACTTTGTCAAGTCACAGTTACTTTGTTGGTTCTCTTCCTTCCTCTGTTGCCTGAGGGGAACAGGGGTACTGAGAAAATGTAAGGACCCTTTGGGATGAGACAGGAGCTCCAGGAGTTAAACCAACATCAGAGTCGCCTACTTAGAATGCTACTGAGTAAGGGACAGGTGAAGCTAGGTAGGGAGACCTAGAGGGTGATGGGATCAGGCTCACAGAAATCCCCAAAATGCTGAGAAGTAAGGAAATCAGATATAAGGGAACAAACCAGACCACTCAGCCCTAGCTGTGGGTGGGGAGGGTGTCTTCTTTTTGACAGTCACATGTGACCAAGAAAGAATAACCAGACCTCAAAAGAAAGCCATTAGAGATGTTCTTACCAGTCTTTACTCAAACCAAGACATCAGAGGAATGATAAGGCCACAAGCTCTCTGGTCAGTTCTAGATAAATGGCTGTCAGGGCAGGCCTACGTTGGCAATGCTGTCGGGACCCCTCCCACTCCTGAGAGCTTCTTCTGTATCCTTGCTTAAGAAACTTTTATCACTTTGCTCACTCTCTTTTGTCCACAAGATTCATTCTTCGACTCCATGAGACAAGTACCTCGCTCTCCTGCCTCACTACCAGCCTCCAAAGACAGCTTCAGATGAAGAGCTGTTGGTCCTGCCTCCTGTACTTTCAGAATAGAGTGCTGGTGAGTGCTATACTGCTTACCCTACCCAAGTTATTCTAATTAGTTATTTTGGAACAAATTCAAATGTATTCTGTGCCAATTCCCCCTTCTGGGTTGAGGACGCCATAGCCCTGCTGTTGGGCACATTGAGGGCAATTGGCATCAGCTGCTGGGAGCCGCCTCTGCCAAGATCACAGAGGGCAGCCCCAGGCCAACACAGGGGATACAAAGTCCTGCTTTCCTTGCTTCGATTGGGGCCAATGCTCAAGGACCAAACCAGCTCTGGAGTTCACCACAGGGCTGCATTGTAGGCCAAAGCCACAGCTGTGACTTGCACCGTGGGTCAACTTCTCCCTCTGCCCAGCATTGCCTTCTTCACTCCCTGGCAGGTGTATCTCCTGAGAGCACTCCCTAGTAAACCTTCTGCCCTCATTGTTGTCTTTGTGTCTATTTCCAGCAAACCCCATGTAAAATTGCTGGTTAAAAGGGATGCCTGGGTGGCTCAGTGGTTAAATGTCTGCCTTCAGCCCAGGGTGTGATCCTGGAGTCCTGGGATCGGGTCCCACATGGGGCTCCCTCCTTCTCCCTCTGCCTCTATCTCTGTCTCTCTCTGTCTCTCATGAATAAATAAATTAAATCTTAAGAAAAAAAAACCACATGCATATATTCTGTCCCTCTTATGTTTTGTTAAACATATGATAGCTTTAAACCATTCTTTGCTTTGCTTTTTTCTTTTAACAATAAATTTATCTCTTCATAGTATGTTTTGCAAGACTGCCTTATTATTTTTAATGGATGTTTACTATGGAGTTACCACAATTTATTTAACCATTGCTCTCTTATTATTGCAACATATAAATTGTGTCTGATTTTTTTTTTTTGTGACATGCTGGGCTGTAATATATCACTGTGCATGTATCTCTTCAGAAATATGAGATTACATCTCTAACATACAGAAATAGAGTCAAATTGCTAGGTCAGAGGATATGACTTTAAAATACTGTTTGATGTTGAGGTGCTTGGGTGACTTAGTTGGTTAAGTGACCAACTCTTGATTTTGGCTTAGGTCATGATCTCAGGGTGGTGAGAATGAGCTCTGCTCTGGGTGTGGAGCCTGCTTAAGATTTTCCCTTTCCCTCTGCCTGTCCTCCCCTATTCGTGTCTCTCTCTCCTTCTGAAACGAATAAATAAATAAATAAATAATTGATTGATGTTGCCAAATTTGCCCTTCATGGAAGTTTTTTTTTATAAAGATTTTATTTATTTATTCATGGGAGACACAGAGAGAGAAAGAGGCAGAGACACAGGCAGAGGGAGAAGCAGGCTCCATGGGGGGAGCCTGACGTGGGACTTGATCCCGGGTCTCCAGGATCACACCATGGGCTGGAGTCAGCACTAAACCGCTGAGCCACCCAGGCTGCCCCTTAATGGAAGTTGATGAGAATGTTTATATTGCTATATCCTAGCTAATGCCCTGAGTTATTGTTTTTTATCTATATCAATATGATACAGAGGAAATCATCTAATGATAGCTTTAACTTGCCACTGAGTCATAGTGAGTGTCTTGTTTTTAAAAAGTATTTATAGGGATGCCTGAGTGGCTCAGAGGTTGAGTGTCTGCCTTCTGGCCCAAGGTGTGATCCTGGAGTCCCAGGATCGAGTCCCACGTCTGGCTCCCTACATGGAGCCTGCTTCCCCCTCTGCCTCTCTCTCTGTCTCTCATAATAAATAAATAAAATATTTAAAAAAATATTTATAGTGAACTTTTTCATGAACTATCTGTTCATATCTATTGTTAATTTTTCTATTGGGTTTTTATTGCTGCTTCTTATCTTTTTCTAGTTCTTTATATATTAGGAAACACAGTATTATAGGATGAGCTACCAATACTGTTCCATGGTTTGTCATTTGTATGTAGACTTTGGTTTTGGTAGTTTCTGTCATGCTAATTTTTAAATTTGGTTAATTTATCACTTGTCTCTGGTTTCTGAGATTTGTGTTAAGGAGTATAAGGAGAAAAAGACTTCAAGATAAAACCCAGGGTGTGCTAGAAAGGAACATAATAATTAAAACTGGATAAGGCCAAAACTACTTGCAATCATCACTGATGTTTCTCCAAGGAAGACATACAGATGGCCAATAGACCCATGAAAGGATGCTCATCATCAGTTACCATTAGGGAAATACAAATCAAAACGGCAATGAGGCATCACCTCACACCTGTCAAAATAGCTAAAATCAACAACACAAGAAACAACAGGTGTTGGCGAAGATGTGGGGAAAAAGGAACACTTGTGCACTGTTGTTGGCAATTCGAACTGATGCAGCCACTGCAGAAAACAGTATGGATATTCCTCAAAAAATTAAAAATAGAATTTCCCTATGATCTAGCCATTGTACTACTAGGTATTCACCCAAAGAATACAAAAACACTAATTCAAAGGGATACATGCACTCGATATTCATAGTAGCATTGTTTACAATAGCCAAACTATGGAAACAGTACAAATGTCCACTGATAGATGAATGGATAAAGAAAATGTGATATATATACAATGGAATATTATTCAGCCATAAAAAATAATAAAATCTTGCCGTTTGCAATGGCATGGATGGAGCTAGAGAATATAACACTAAGAGAAATAAGTCAGAGAAAGACAAGTACAATATGAGTTCACTTGTGGAATTTAAGAAAAATAAATAAGCAAAGGAAAAAAGAGACAAATCAAGAAACAGACTCTTAACTATTGAGAACAAAATGATGGTGGGGGGGTGGAGGATGGGTGACACAGGTGATGGAAGTTAAGTAGGGCACTTGTTGTGATGAACCCCAGGTGATGTATGGAGTTGTTGAATCACTATATTGTATACCTGAAACTAATATTACACTGTGTCAACTAACTGGAATTAAAATAAAAACATAAAACAAAAAAATTATTACCAATAACCTAATAAAAATCTTGATCCTCCCTCCACCTCACCCTCCAAAACTTGTTCCTCCCATTGTCTGCCCCATTTTAGCAAGTACCAACTTTATTCTTCTATTTGCTCAAGGATGGCCTTGGAATTATCCTTGGCTCTTTCTGTCACATCTCACATTCAAACCATTAGCAGTTCTTATCAGCTCCATTTTTAAAATATCTCAAGAATCTGACCTTTTTTCAAAACCTTTACTATTGGCAACCTGAGTGGCTCAGCAGTTGAGGACCTCTGCCTTAGGCTCAGGGCATGATCCTGGAGTACCAGGATCGAGTCCCGCATCAGGCTCTCTGCTGGCAGCCTGCTTCTCCCTCTGCCTATGTCTCTGCCTCTCTCTGTGTGTCTCTCATGAATAAATAAATAAAATCTTAAAAAAAAAAAAACCTTCGTTATTACCCTAATCCAAGTCATCATCATAGAGGCTCCTAAGTGGTTTCCCTACCTCTACTCTGACCTATACAGTTTACTTTCAAGCAGTTAGAGAAATTGTTTAATACCATAATACAGATCACTCAGCTCCTCTACTCAGTCCCCTGTATAGTCTCCATCTATTTGGTTTAGGATAAAAGCCAAAGTCTTCCCAGTGGCTTATGGTCCACTAAGATCCTCCAGACTCATCTACCACACACTGCTGGGTTCACTCTGTTGTCTTTGCTATTTACCACTAGAACATAAAAAGTTTCTGCCTCAGGCCATTTGCATGTCTTGTGCCTATCTTTAGACTGCTCAGTAGCTGTAAGTTCATTTTTAGTGAAACGTTTAGTGAATGTTTAGTGAAAAGTTCCCTTTTAGTGTTTTACTCAAATGTCACTTTTCCGTGGGACCCTCTGTGATCACCATATTTAAAACTCCACTCTCCATTCTGACCACTTCTGTGCTCCTTATCCTCCTTCCTACTCTATAGCTCGTATCTCATACGACATTTTGAATATGTTGCTCATTTATTTATTTAATATCTTCATATCCTAGCCCTGCCACCACCCTTTTAAACTCTGAGGGCAGAAATCTATTCCTTTTGTGTTCACTTTTACATCCTTAGCCCTAGGATAGTGCCTGTCAGATAACTAGGATGGAATGGATCAGATCTTGAATTGTACTTGAGGGATTTCATTTCCTAATTTGATTCCACAATAGTGTGCTGAAAATTAGCTATGTGGATGACTCTGTACTTGGAGCAGTTGGGGAAAAAAATTCTACTCATACAAAAAAAGTTTCAAAGAAGAATCAAGGCAGAGTATTAAGAAAAAAAGGCACACATGGGGAACCTGGGTGGCTCAGTCTGTTAAGCTTCCAACTCTTGATTTGGGCTCAGGTCATGATCTGAGGCAGAGCCAGACATTGGGGTCCACACTCATCATGGAGTCTGCTTGTCCCTCTCCCTCTGTTCCTACCCCTGCTCTCTTTCTCTCTCTCATAAGTAAATAAATAAACTATTTTTTTAAAAAGGCACATAGGTAGGAAAGCTTAAGCTTTTCCAGGTAGTTATATAAGAGGTGGGTGTGTGAAATAGATACTAAGGAATTTAATCTGGGAAATGCAAATTTTCTTAGTTTTAAGAGATCCTGGGGTTAGGTTATACCAAATTGTGTATGCACTAGGAAACCATGACAAGACTTGAGCAGAACTTGACACAGTGGGAAATGAGTTTTAAATGCTTCATCTACCAACATGTCCAGAATGCAGTGGGGCTGGAAAGGCAGCTTAGAACCTAATGCCTACCTACCATGTCAGTGATAGTGACCTTGAAAGGGAATGACTTGAAAGACCCTGTATATGTTGAATAAACATAAGCTGGCACATGATTGGCTACGGAAGGTAAAAGGGAACAGGGGTCAGATGGTGCTGAAACTAGGTGATCTTTAAAGCATGTTCTAGACGCCTTATGTAACCAAGTCTAGTACTTTGATGTATTTGTATGTGAGACTTTGTACGTGTGATCGCTCCACAGACCCTCTGTGGAGAAAGCCAGCAATGCCTTAGCTCTAGCTGTGTTAGGAAACAGCTGTGCCCTTTACGTTAGTAACAGGAGTACAAGGAATAAA